CCCAGGGTACGTTCCGGTATACCGCACCGTACCCAGGGTACGTTCCGGCAGTACCCTGGGGTACATAGACCCTATGAGCGTTAGGAATGCACGCGTTTATAAGAGATCTACGTAGGCTGTAACTACGCCTGCCCGCTAACACAGCAATATACGCGTCTATACGTGAAATCTGTTATAAATAACACTGCTAACTCACGCTACGGCATCCACATTCACACGCTGCTATACCGTCATAATGTTACTAACACTGCGTTGTATGCTATGCACGTTTTTTTGCGGGGTCTCTTCAGGGTTTTACTTCTGTCTTGCAAGAGATCTCACCAATAATCATCAACCACACTCATTGGTTCCTTACTCTGCTGATCGTGTTTCGGATAGGTTAATCGTTTTAGAGTTTGAAAATTATAATGTATGTTTGTTCATATTTGATAATAATATAATTCTATTGTCGTTAACATAATTATCGTTTCATGTGATTAATTATGAATAACATTGTAGCCGAATGGCGAAATCTGTCTAATCTTGAGAAGGTAGAAATTAAGCAATCAATAATTGCAACAAGGGTGTTTTAATCGTACTTTGCGCTAAATATGTAATATGCAGTATTTGTTGTCGAGGTAAAAAAAAAAAAATTACTCTGCACTCTCTGTATTAGGCTTGGTTTGCTATAACTAGTAGGAAATCGTGTTGGTGCGTGCCAAGACCAGACGTAATATACTAGAATGCGTTTGCTAAGGGTACCGATTACAGTAACTGAGAACTGTTAGTAAATGTCGCAACGAAAGAGGACGCAAGAAGCGTTATATTGCGTGCACCTGCTGACGTCACACGGGGTGCGCCTGCTGTCCGTCTGACACCTGTGCGCGATCCAATTAGTAGAGAAAGAACGAGGGCAGTTCAGGGTATTATTGCGCTGAGGAATGAATAGCCAGCATTGACAGTCTGTTTCGCACAGTGCTGTGCGGTCGTTTCCACCTCATAATATCATTTCCTCGCGGTCAATCCATCCGGAGTTACCTGCACATGGTAGTGAGATTAGCTTTTCTATGTCCATTCAGTACGGAGCCGATTAAGTGTGGATGACCTCACGCTAGGATAAGCCCGAGCGAACCGGAGAACATTAAAAAAGAAGAACACGTCGTGCTCTTAAATTTTGCGATGTATACGATAAGTGTAAATCAATACTTGCTATTCCGTGGTCGTAGCCGACACAACCGGTTGTCTGTCGTCATCGTGTCCTGCACATGGTAGTGATATTAGCTTTTCTATGTCCATTCAGTACGGAGCCGAGTTAGTGTGGATGACCTCGCGCTAAGATAAGCTCGAGCGAACCGGAGAACATCCGAAAAAAAGAACACGTACTCTTACATTTTATGATGTATACGATAACTGTCTTAGGGGATCTATATATTGTATGAATCGTATACACACTCGTTGACGTAGAAGGTATCAATCAAGTGCTATTCCGTGGCCGCAGCCGACACAACCGGTTGTCTGACGTCATCGTCGCATGCTGTACACACACATACATACCCGTTCAGTTTAGTCGTATTTGTTAATTTTCCCGTGAGTAGGTGAACTCAGGGTGGTTCGTGTGAGTAAATTACCCCGTTGACGTCTGCCCAACATTCAAGCTATAGTGCTGGCAAGGCCGCGTAACCGTAAGGCACTATTAGTGGAACATTCGATGAGAACCGATAATTACGCAGACTCTGTAGTGCTTCTTAAACTATTTCAGTGTCATTCGCCCTAGAGAGTCTTTATCACAAAATTTCATTCCCCCGCGACTCAATTTCCTTGTGTTTCTTCGTAATTTTCGTCTTAGTCTCCATTTACCCCCAAAATAATTTCATTCACCTTTGGGTGAACTATTCGCCAGGTTAAGAAGCACTTCTGTATATAAACAACCGAAAGCCAACCTCACTTAATTATTACAGGAAGGTTTGAAACGTAAAATTGAAATCACCGCATGTAGCAGAACGCGGCAAAAATCTTACGACCTGCGTATGTTGAGTTCTGTTTTGTCATTGACACCATGTATCTCGGCTGCTGCTGCTGCTGCTGCTGTTGCTGCTGCTGTTGCTGCTGCTGCTGCTGCTGCTGCTGCTGCTGTGCATACGATGGCACTGTGCTGTTAAAATATATGCGTCGATAAGTCGCAGTCGTCGCTATTAAAGTTATTCTGACAATCCAAAATCGATGACACTATCAAGATTAGCCTGTCACGCTGACCGCATGTAGAAATCGATAATTGAGCTCCAGCTTAATTGATGGCCACGATGGACGCTCCGCATATATAGCTCTGCCGTCTGTTCGCCAAACCGAATCCGGAATCCGGTGTTGGAAATTCGGATGAATAAGCAAAACAAATCAACGATGAAAGCGTTACCGCGCCAGCGCCAACAGTTCGAATTGCCGCCGTGCTGTTTCTCGGTTGTTGATTACGTTCTTTGAAATAGAAACGTACTCGTCGCGGTTTGTTATTTGAGCACGCGATAGGAACAGCTGTCGACTGTCGGTGATCAGATTATTCTGCGAAAAAATTGCGCGTTTTGATTGTGTTCATGGTTATATGCACAACGAAAACGTAAAAAACCATTTCAAAGTGAACACGTTCGGGAAAAAAACAAGTGAGTTGAGTGAACATCAACGTTGGCGTCATCGTCATCGTCATCGACGTCGTCGTCGTCGTCGTCGGCGGCGGCGGCGGCATTGGCGTTGTCTTTATCGTCATCGTCGTCGGCGTCGGCGTTGTCGTCATCGCCATCGTCATCGTCGTCGTCGTCATCATCGTCATCGTCGTCGGCGTTGTCGTCATTGTTATCGCCATCGTCGTCGTTGTGGTCGTCATCGCCATCGTCGTCGTTGTGTTCGTCATCGTCATCGTCGTCGGCGTTGTCGTCATCATCGTCATCGTCGTCGTCATCATCGTCATCGTCGTCGGCGTTGTCGTCATTGTTATTGTCATCGTCGTCGTTGTGGTCGTCATCGCCATCGTCGTCGTTGTGTTCGTCATCGTCATCGTCGTCGGCGTTGTCGTCATCGTCATCGCCATCGTCGTAGTTGTGGTCGTCATCGTCGTCGTCGTCGTCGGCGTTGTCGTCATTGTTATTGTCATCGTCGTCGTTGTGGTCGTCATCGTCGTCGTCGTCGTCGGCGGCGTCATCTCCGCGTTACGGCATTAAAATCGCTTTCGTGCCCTTCTGGACGAGCCGAGCCCACAAGAAGCGCTTAAATAAGTTTATGGTGACAGTCAGGCATTGAAACGCCATTACTATACCGCAAAGCTGTAATTAACGGCCCTCATATTATACTAAGGTACTTCGTATAGTCAAGCTATCTCGTCTCTCTGCATATAGTTCAAGAATTACTGCGTTCAGGGCAGTAGGCTCGTGCGTTCACTGATAGAATCAGTGGGGAAAAAAGTTGGCCTATTTGTCTTACACGAGCATGCGAAGGTATGACGTGGTTTGTTTTGTTAATAGAAATAAAAAACGCCGGATGTTAACGACATTTGTTTGTATTCGCGCATGCTTTTTACATTCGACTCTCGCTCTCTCTCTCTCTCTCTCTCTCTCTCTCTCTCTCTCTCTCGCGCTCGCGCGCGCGCTCTCTCTCTCTATCTTTCTCTATTGCGCGCTCTATCTCTCTCCCTCTACCCTATTGGTCTCGAAAGCTTTACTGGATTAATTTCCACAGAAACATATGCAAGTAACTATCGTTTCATCGGTTCATCTCGCGTGGGGCGCCATTGGTAGTTTATCGTGACGAATGCAAGAGTACGCTTTGACGCTCAGTTTTACAGAAATTATCCGTTTGACACGTAATTGAATGAACAATTTTACGACCCGGTCTGCGTGGACTAGTCTGGAATTATTGCGAGATCGCAAATAGTTGTTTTCGAGTAACGAGCGACACAATCGGCATTAAAATTATAGCGAAGTATCATTCAAATTCAATCCGCACGCGAAATATGTATTAACAACCTCTTTGTAGCTGTGTACATCGGCAATAATACCTACGCTACACAGTCGTTATACCGCAGTTTATTATTAATAAGTACATGACGAACTTTACGATCTGGAACACGGGCCTAGCTGAACGCGCATGTGGTATTATAGCGTTGTTTTGAAGTCAGCGAAATTACAACGATATTTTACTATTACGTATAAGCCATGACCATCCGGTTTGGTAATATTCACTGTCAAGCGAGACAATTTACGCTTGAAAACGTGTAATAAACTATTATTACTCTAAACACCTCCTTGATACTATTGTAGATGTATATGTCAACCGATATTCAAGCTTAAATTGCCTACTATCCATTGGAAATTTATGACGATATAATTATAGAATATTCCTTTTGTTCCTTTTATATTCGTATGGTCATCATATATAAAACCATGATAAACCTTAATTTTGACAGTTTCCTAGAAGGAAACGAAGCCTCGAGGTTTCGTATAGTAAGGGGAACGATACACAGTCGTGTAATACGGCTGTTTCATCTCGAGCATTCAACATACATATATACATACGTATTTATTCGATTTCTTTAAACGATCAAGAATTGTTGCCTCATCTTTCATTCCGCTGGTACTCCAGCCAATTCTTCTTCCTATTAAGCAGCAATATTAACAGAGATCAGTTATATACCTGCGCGTTATATGCAACGTACGCTATTCCGTATACTTACGTGTGGTGCACGCATTTCGTTGATACAGCTTGGTTTTGCTTCACAGTTGTTAGCAAAAAATACGTATTTTGCATTTATCGTGTTTCATAATTCGATGAATTCGTGTTTCCAGTCATTCGATGCTCGGTTCAGTCCACGAAGGAAATACTTGTTCAAATGACTAGCATCGGCCTGTTATACATTTTGCATCGAGAAGTGTCGTGAACAGACCATGTTTAGCGTTATATGCACGACGTCTGACGATAGCATAACTGTCTCGTATTTTCATTCGTATAATTTATCGGGCTTTTTCTCTCCACGTCAAGTTTCAAGTTTTCACCGGCCCTTAAGATTAATTTAGTGTTTTACGAACTTGTTTAACGGTTAAGACGGAAGAAAATTTTAACAATAGATTATATTCAGATGATTCTGTCATTTCATGTCTCTTCGCTGTGCTGATGATGTTTGCCGCATAGCTTTTGTTTTCGCGCATACAGCGCGAATTTCGGCTTCCATGAATAAATGGTAATTGTGAGTTCCTCCACATCAGTTCGCTGACTATACGACAGCTGCATGGCTGGATGCTAAGCCTGGATACCATCAGGCTTCAGCTACTTTAACAATAATAGACTTATCTACACGATGCCTAAAACAAACATGAATCGAATTTAATGACACGCGTTTTTATCTAAACTCAATGAATATGGTCACTCTTTTGATGGAATGTTTCTCTTTCAACGCCTCTCTCTCCCCAAACTGTCAACATGTCTAGCTGCATTCAGTAACGGATCTGAGGCGTGAATATCAGCACAACGGATTATATGAGTTAAAAGATAAAGTATTGAAAGTGTGTCGAAAGCACAGTGTCGTAATAACACTGAATGCATTTCGATTTCCATATATTGCAAAATGGCAAGACCGTGGTTCTTTTCAAAGTTTTGGGCACCAGGGTGCGCTATTTGATTGGTTTACATCCGGTTCGAGAAACACATCATATATACCGATATATATATACATAGTACTTGCATTATTGTCGTGGTTATCCTTTTCCATTACAATAGAATTTCTATTGAGTGTAATACCGAGAATGTTCATGCCGATGATATAATGCGTATAAAAGGCTTTTGGAAAATGGAAACTGCACAATCGAAAAAACGTGTTAGTCACGTCAATATGGTAAAAGATTGAATACAAACCGGTGCGTATACATACATGCGGAAATGAAAACATTTGTAGTCGTGTCTGAGTAACTGAGGTTAATCTACACAATAGATAAAAAGCAAATTGAAAAAATTTGCGCCCTATAAAATATAGAGATCCTAACAAGCCCGGGTTTCCAATACCTAGTAACTTTGGGAAGTATAATTTCGCGGTACCCTATTGCCCGTGTAATTTTTCCTGTTGTAGACATTTCTCATTGTGTTTATCATAGAACACAAACTACAAGTCCGTTTTCTCATATTGTCGTATGTGTAGTTTCCTCGTAATAATATGTGCAGTTTCCTCGTATTGTATTATATAGTTTCCTCGTATTGTATTATATAGTTTCCTCGTATTGTAGTATACGTAGTTTCGTCCAGTTATTTGAAGATAACTGTTTAACTTTTTATGAATAGCGCGTTTACATAGCGGCTGCACGGTTTGGTAAATCGATCCACGAATCGCTTTAACATTTCCGGACATTGTTTAGACATTGCACAATATCTACGCAATCAAGCTTTTGTGCAATTGTAATTGTAAGTAATCGTGGTGTAATTGTTAAGTTACTGCATGTTAATTAAGGTATTGCTCACCCGTAGTTTAATAATTGCTAGCGCATTGCGCAGCTATTGTTCAAGCATTCTGAAGCCATTGTGCACCCATTAATTTTATTATTATTAATTAATATAATTATTTATAATTATTTATTTATTTATTATTATTATTATTAATTAATTATAATTAAAAATATTATTATAATTAATAAAATCAAAATTAATCACCCGAAGTGTTTTATTTGCTTGTTGACCTCTCACCTATCACTCCAAGCAGTTCCACTTTCTTCTGAGCCCCTCCAAACAATTAACCTGCGGAGAGCGTTGGGGCTTGGTGTGAGTTTCTCGCTATAACAGTCGCTTGTATCATCTCAGAGTTTTATCTCATTGTATTCAGAGTATTATCTCAGTATCTCAGTATCTCAGTATCTCAGAGTATTATCTGATTGTATCATCTCAGAGAATCTAGAACAAGAAGCGTTTTGTTGTTATTTCAATCGAGTACTGCAAAATGCGGTGGCACCGATACTTGCTCGCTGCTGTAGTTGCTCGAATGGAAGTTTACGTGTTATTAGAAAATACGCGTGAGCAGCGCTCGACAGTGTGCCATCCCCCACAAAGATATGATCTCCAAGCGATCACAGGATGAACCATGATTAATGTATCTCTTTGAAATGATCTATACGTCTCGTATAACTCATTTTGTCGCTCGCGGTCAATCATTTTGTTTTGCTTATCGTTTATGCATTAGATTCTGCGTTATTATTGTTGTTATTATTATTTATTTACGTCGCGAGCAGCTATCGTTTCTATAGTCACCGACTTTGGAAACCCCTAGATTAGCCCTGACATTATAGTACAAACATCAGCACACACAGCCACAGGCTAGTGTATTAGCCATGGCACTATTGTACAAACATCAGCACAGAACGATGCACCCACCGACTAAACGCCACAGGCTAGTGTATCAACCATGACACTATTGTACAAACATCAGTGCTGCATAGGTCCAAGAGAAGAGGGATCCCAGTGTGCGTTTAAAAGCATAGGCATTGAGCATAGAGTGAGTGTGTAGCCGTTTATGTCACCTGCCAAATTGCAGTTCGATTTGGTGCGACTGAAAGCTCAATAGGGGATGAGTGAATGCACGCTTAGCTCACGGGATGCGAGCAGACAATAAAACTCATACAATCCTATATTCGGAAATGGCAATTTATATCTAAATGTGCAAATTGTGGCGAAACGGAGCACATATGCCACGCGTTCACATTGGCGGTACGGGCCAACGACACGGAATCAGACTGGCGAATAGTATTTTGCTTATTACTGATAAGATACGATAGAATTTACGTTGCCTTGCATCGTGGTCCGGTGTGTGATTGAAAGTTTCAGCAAAAAGGAATTGTTTAGCAAGCTGTGTCGTAACAGTTCGAAACGACGATATGCTGTTTGATAGCTAGTATTCGTGATAAACGATCTATAGAAATTGTATATATTGTAGTGTGTGTGTGTGTGTGTGTGTGTGTGCGCGCGCGCGCGCGTGTGCGTGTGCGTGTGCGTGTGCGTGTGCGTGTGCGTGTGCGTGCGCGTGCGCGAGTGTGTGCGTGCGTGCGCGTGCGCGCGTGTGTGTTTATGCATATGTGCACACACGTGTATTTAACCTTTTGTATAATAAATTAAACTTGTTAAAATATAAATAAATGATATTGCTGTTAACCAAATAAACAAGGGTCTTGTGGTTATATGCATCATACGTCATTGTTTTTCCGCTACGTTGGTGGTCTACCTTCAGCGTACAACCTGCATGACTGACTGACGAGCTGACTGACATAATCTGTTTTATATTACAAGATAATGACCATAATCATGTTCATAATTCATAACCATAACCACGTTCATAGTCATGATCATACATGTACCAGGCACTGGCAGCAAGAACAAGTCCGCACCAGCTACAGCACACACGCCGCCATTAACTATATATATACTATATATATATGTAGTATATATATAGTTAATGGCGGCGTGTGTGCTGTAGCTGGTGCGGACTTGTTCTTGCTGCCAGTGGTACCAGGTGGACTGAGTTGTCTGCTGGGGTTTGTTCATTATACCCGAGTGTAAGCCCTGCTAGACTAAACTACGACAATGTATCGATATAAATTTATAAATTTATTTAAAAAAAAATTTTTTTTGGCCGATTAAGTTATAAAATCCGGGACGTTGTCTACTAATTACCACGTCATAGGTGTCATACAGGGTTCATTCTCGGCATCTGACGCTATCAACGTGAAACGGCACCAAACCACGGCACGCTATATATATTATTAAACGGGTTATTAACTTATTAGCTTGGTTAACATATATATTACTGAAAATAATATAATTAAATATTATTAATAAACATAAATCTAATACATTTTAACCCGATATATAGTATATATGATGCTTTATTTAATTTGTTTATTAATTAAGTTATTATCACCTCATATATTACAAACAATATCAAGAGCTTGACAATATGTACATAAATAAAATATGCAACTGTATAACTACTAAGGATAAATACACATACACAAAGCACAGAAAACGGACACACTTATTTACATTGTGGTCTTTGAGTATTTACATTTCATTTGACTTTTAACGAAATGCACATATTATATAATGGTATTATAATACAAACCTACTGTCCTACAGCATTCTAACGTGTTTCACAAATTTGAAGCTGTTATGTACAGTTGCAACTCTAATGTGTACAGGTAATGAGTTCCAACCTTCAATTAAAATATAAATGCAAGATTTCATTCCTTTAATCCTTAAAGAAGCGAACTCCTTTACCCGTGACATACAGAAAATGTCTGCTGCATGTAATTGTCAAATTATTGCGTTGTTTTTTCAAAGCAACGAGAATGTAACGGGTAGGGCCTACTATCCAGAAATGTAATGGGTGATAACATAAACGGACGTGAGTAAGCAAATACACTGGCAGATCCACGATGGCATAAAGAGCCTCCCCTCTCCCCATACAAGAATGGTAGTAGTAGTAACAGTAGCAGCAGTAGTAGTAGTAGTGGCAGTAGTATAGTAGCAGCAGCAGCAGCAGCAGCAGCAGCAGCAACAGCAGTAGTAGGCCCCTATAGTAGTAGTAGTAGTAGTAGTAGTAGTAGTAGTAGTAGTAGTAGTAGTAGTAGTAGTAGTAGTAGCAGTAGCAGAGGTATTATAGTATATGGTGGTGGTAGTATATGTCAATTATTATGATATTGTTATAATTACATTACTAGTGAAGAACCAATACTAGTTTGCACACGCATGCTAGCCTGATATTACTTTCGCGATCAAAACATGACATGTATAAACATCCGAGGTACGTAGAGAACAAGAAACGCAACTTGAATAATGCATTAGTAAAGCAAACACGCGTTTTAAAAGGAGAACGTCATGGGAATTGGTATCTATTAAACAAAAGAGCCGTTCTAACTCGACATTAAAACAGTCGAGCTGCGATGGCCGAGTGGTTAAGGCGTTGGATTCGAAATCCAATGGGATATTCCCGCGTAGGTTCGAACCCTACTCGCAGCGAGCAACTTTTTTATTCGTGTAGCTCTAGCAAAGTTGTCAGAAATTCGCGTATTCTCAGCTGCGTAATGCGTAGTTCAATTAGTAAGTAGTAAATCATAGCGTCGCTCACGTGCAATGTTCATTAGGAACATCCCGAACGTCAATGTCTGGAACAACCGTTGTGTTGTTAATGAACTATGATTACAAAGTTGAAAGGTCTTTTGATCTTAGGACGGGTGTGCGCGAATGCGAGCGCTGTGGACGAGTCTTGAATCGCAACTTTCGTTTCGTCGGTGAATGTGACATCCATTTAAAAGCAGCGCGTACGATAAGGGAAACATGCTTTAATACTGTTTCTATTCCTATGCGGCTGAAACCGTGTTGTTGCTTGCTCGCTTGGCGAGGAATGCGTGCTTGATTCGTTGACCACCTGACTATATCGACCAATACTGTATACGCTGTATATTTCGCGGTGGTTTAATTTTCGCCACCGCGAAAATAACAACACGCGAATAATTCATACCGAATAATACCGTTCGAATAATTCATAATTCACCGACCGCGAAATTAACCACTCGCGAAATTGTCCGTCAAGTCTGAATTTGCGCAAATGTCTGTACGCGAAAAATATGGCGTATACTGTAATTGCGAAACCTTGTCTCAAGCATATCATCCCCAGGAGAGAAAACGTGAAGAAACAACCAAAATGCGAAGGAAACCTAAAGTACAGTACAGTTCTTGTCATTCTCTCACAGTTGTTTTATGCCCGAAGTAAAATGAAATCATTTGGTTTTTTTAAATTAAATTAAATTAAATAAATTAAGTAAATTAAGTGAATAATAACATGAGTTCTGGTAAGTTGGAGTTCAGAGAGCGGTACTTCAGTAGGATGAAATGATTTGTATTCATATTAAAAACGAGTGGTAAATCAGGCCACAATATTTGCAATAAACCGTGAAAACTTAAATCACATACGTACGTACACTGCTATGTTTCTGGTAGCATAAATATTAGTCTAACAAGAGTGGATAGCATTCCATGAGTTCTCGAATTAAAATTAACCATGACCGACTGGGGCAACTTACCAATCAGTATCAGTCGAGTCTCAATTTCGGAAACTATAAGCGCAAATATCACATCCATCAACGTTGAATGTTTGATGTGTAACAATATTTGCTGCGATGGCCGAGTGGTTAAGGCGTTGGACTTGAAATCCAATGGGATCTTCCCGCGTAGGTTCGAACCCTGCTCGCAGCGTGTTTTAACTCCTAATCAGAACGGCTTAACCGTACGTGATATTTTTTTCCTGAACCTTTCCGGCAGTACAGTGTACATCGTCTTCGTTTTTTTTATTTTATTTATTTGTGATTCATAATTTTTGATTGATGCCTTTTGATTGATGATTTTTGATTTATAATTCAGACCTATAGTGATTGAGACATATAATAATAGGTAAGAAAAAATATATAAAGAAGAAAAACGAAGAAGATGTACAAAGTAAAAATTTTCGCTACCCGTGTACAGTGACCTATAGCTGCCAGAAATGACTATGTTGAAACTGCAAAATTGAAAAGAAATTAGCGCTGTTTCGATGGGTGCATTTAAAAAAAAATGCCTAACGCGGAGTTGCAATATTAAAAACGCGGGTCAGTCTTGCGTCATCTCAAATTTCGTGGGAGAAGTCGTCATTTTCCTCTTTACCTGCTCCGTTTGTTACGTAGTCAGGACTAAGAGCAAAATAAAACACAGCTTGCTCTGCAAGTATGAAATTTTCGTTGTCAATCAATTTAAAACAGAAATTCAAAAATGTTAATGTCAAAACAGGGTCGGACGTCGTTTCAAATAAAGACCCTATTTCACAATAACCCTAGAAACTATGGGAGGGGATGTGTCAAAATTCAAACGTTTAATTGATCGATTGATTGTTCAATTGAACAGTCAATTTAATCATTCAAACGTTCAATTGATCGATTGATTGTTCAATTGATCAATTGATTGTTCAATTGATCGATTGATTGTTCAATTGAACAGTCAATTTAATCATTCAAACGTTCAATTGATTGATTGATTGTTTAATTGAACAGTCAATTTAATCATTCAAATTTTCAATTGATCGATTGATTGTTCGATTGAACAGTCGTTTAATAATTTAAACGTTCAATTGAGCAATTAAATAACTAATTGCCAAATTGAATCGCCGAATTGACGATTTGACGAAGTGACGAATTGACAAATCAAAGGCACGAATACTGAATAGGCGTATTGAATCATGGAATGGAGCAATTGCCGAGGCTCGTCTATCGAGCAATTGCCGAGGCTCGTCTATCGAGCAATTGCCGAGGCTCGTCTATCGAGCAATTATTGCCGAGGCTCGTCTATCGCCAAATCAAACGTATACCTACTGCACATGCGCACAGAGGCATGACGGAAGGCCGGCTCAAATAATTATCAAACATGTTTGAATCGGACGACTTGGCCGGCCGACTCGAAAATCGATGCGACTCACTGGACACACT